TATATATATATATATATNTNTNTNTNTNTNTNTNTTTTTTTTGCGTATAAAAATATGAGATAATTTTTTCTCATCTCGTAAATAATACATATTTAAATAAAATTGTATTAATTATAAATAAAAAAAAAAAAGAAGTTAAATAAATAGTAAAATTCGATAAGACTAGAACTTAATCGATATTTGATCTTTAAATCATACCAAAACCTTCAGTACCTTCACTAATCGCTAATAACAAAGCTCGCTCAAAGTGATCATAACATTCATAATCGGGTAAGCAGAGCTGGTTGAAGCTGTAAAAATATTTAAATAATTACTATTTTCAAAAATTACTATTATAATTAAAATATAAAATTATTTACCAAGTATGTGCTGTAGGCAAATTAGCAAAAGTTGGTGCTGCTGTAATTTGAAATCGTGGACTCAACTGTTGAAATCCACCCGGTGGTAATTGCGAACAGCCTGTGGTAAATTGTAATAGTCGGGCCATCTCCTCTTGCGTGAAGTTGCTAACTGCAGTCCAGAACCAATCAAGAACTCGAAGAAACTCTGGGGAGCTTCCATTAGCTATATGGTGCGCACGTAAATCTGCTACGCTGTATTCACCAGTACCACACAACAATAACTATAACAAATATATAATAATATAAAGTAAATGGAAGATATTTAAAAATGAGAGAGAGAGAGAGAGAGAGAGAGGAAGAAAAAATATAAATTATATACTTCAAGTTCGTTTTCGTCAAAAATTCCCAAAAGATTATCAGGAATAAGTTCGTTTAGACCTCTTAGAAAATGTTCTACTTCGTTTCGTACGGAACTAGCGAGCCTATGTTGTGCGAGTGCATCCAAATAACGAAGTTTCGTATCGTTTGTTACACGAATCTTACTACCTCCAGGAATTAATTCAGCTACCTATAATAAATGAATTTAAACAAGGTAATATAAATAAATATATAATATGATCTTACTTTTAATAATTGACCATCTTTGTCATATTCTTCTTCGACAAAATAAAGTTCCATTTCCTCGACGTCATTTTCAAGAATATACTTTATTTTGCTCAGATATAAATCTGGATCATCTTGTTCGAAATACTATAAGAAAAATAAAAATGTTTTATTTTTTTGTAATTTTTTTGTTTTATCGATAAATAAATTAAAAATTATTTACCTTGTAATGTACTCTGAGGCCTATGATTTGCGCAAGAAATGATCTCGTAAATCTTGCACGTACCAACTGTCTATAGGAACCACCAAGAGCAGATTCATACAAGCATTTGCCCACGATTCGCCCTGCAAACTCATAATGCTTTAGTTTAAGCTGTGAAGGCCGTTTACTGTTAGGATGAACTAGTGCCTGCTGTGATTCTCCGAAGGATGCGAATAAACCGTTTCCTGAATCGAATAGAGCCGCGCAAATCAACTCAAACCACTCTCGTCGAACACCACCCCAATCAACGCCTGAAATGGAATAGTATTGAATATTATTTTTCTTCCGATAGCAAGAAATATTATCGCACTCTGTAAGGAACATACCTTGTTCACCTTGAAAACTGATCTCAAAATTTCTACACCAATCACTAACAGAGAATCCTTTTGTAGATTTCATAGACTTAAAACGAAAAAAGAAAAAAGTGTAATCAATTTGACTGAATTATATACATCGCTTCAATCGATACTTGATATTTACCGATTCTAGCAATTTGTCGCGTTGAACTTTCACCAGAAGTTTTTCGTGGTAATGTTTTTGATGATGCTTTCGAACTTCGTGATAAAAGAAATCTTGTTTGTCAGCGAAAGTTTCACTTCCACCTATATTTTTCAACAAAAACAACGTAAATGTAGCGGCTATTATATCTCGATACAGAGAAATTAATTCAACGGGTGGCTGACATCCATCATCGATAGAAAAAGAGTCGTAACCATCGTATTGATTATTTGAACAATCAAAATGGAACTGAAAGACATCGTTTCAAATTATTGCACGTGTTATATCTATGAAAAAAAAAATTTTAATTTTTCCTTTCCGAGAAAGGAATTGAATTACTTACTTTAGTTGACGGGCAAAGCCTGAAAGTAACGAGCCTTTTTGGTATAATTCTTAACAAGTACTCCTTGATAGTGAGTTGTTTAGGCGAAATAAAGCAGACAACTTTTTTCGGTTTCGAAAATTTTTCTCCTTGCATGCCCAACAATTTTGCGGCATAACAAATGTTGGGATCTTTCGAGGCCACGTTATTATGCACCATTCTAGCAACATCACCTACGCTAACAAATATTATAAATATTATAAAAATAAAACTTGGTCGTCGAGAAAAATTTAAGAGGAAAGTATCTCTCGTACTCTCGAGTACAATGATGTCAAAATCGCCGTTATGTAGCTGCAGTCCGCGTAAACTAACTGTCGCATGATAACAGTTCCCCTTCGGAAAACTGACTTTTAAACGAATCCTTTGATTTGGAGAGTCATAGTCAAATTGTATACTGCAATTTGTAATAGCCGATTTATTCATTGTACTACCAATCTGTAATTAAAATAATCGTAAAAGAAAGAAGTTAATCAACAATAACCATCATTGAATTCCATCAGCCGTTTTTACTAACATTACTTGCCTGAGTAATATTAACTTGATAACCCTCCGTAGGTTTGTCTCCAGGCCCAAATAAACATAGATTATCGTATTCGTCTCGCGGCTCTATCGTCATAGAATGTGCAACTCCGGCTGTACAAACGACCGTTGAACTTTGTCGTACGAAGACAGTCTTATTCGGATCTGGGGGTCCTAAATAATCAAATATAAATATATAAATAAATATGATTTAACAATTGCGTACAATTCTATCGTAAATATCTTTTGGATAATGGGAAACCGTACCGGGAAGAAAATTTTTAAGAAACGGGCTGCCGTGAACGTGACACGAACCAATAAGTACAGCTATTCGATATTGTCCAGCATGGCGGACAGTAAACTTTACAACTGCAGTGTTTGCAGCTAAGGGATCGGTGCCTCCTAACTCTATTAGGGTAGCCACTCTTCGTGTACCCTCTGTGACTTCAACGATCAAATTGTCTTTGTCACAAATTGGGTACGGTTGGCCGTTCCGTTGATAAAACTGTAAATCACATTTTGAAAATGAGATACGATCGTCACGGCAATAAATTAGCTAGCCAAAGGAATAAATTTTATTTTTATTACACTCGTTTTTTTAAACATATTTAAAAACTTTCATCGCCTTGTATATACCTTCACTGTAAACGTCATAGTTTCTCCGACAAGTTGCGGCTCATCCCATGCAAAATGAACCCGACAATTGCTCGGTAGTAAATACTTTCCGGTCACATATTGTAACAAGGAGTGTTTCGCCTCTGGTGCTAGGGCCGGCTGTGTCATAGCAGCCAGGGTCACTAACCCTGCTACTGACACGGAGACAACTAACATTCCACCTGTCAGGAGGACACAAGAGAAGGGAAGTTAAGTGAATTTTCCTTGAAAATTACACGCAAAAACGATGAAAGAAAAAAAAAAATCATACCCCATGTCCAAGCGTCTTGATGTTGGCTATTCTTCACCACGGCGCTCCACAAATCAGCCTTGAGGGTTTCTAAATCTTCCTTTGAAGTAGGCAACGTCTGTCTGGCCTGGGTCCATCGCGGTAAATCCTTGCCAAGGGCTGCCCGTGCCGCATTATCCTCCACCCAATACACGTCCTCCAGAGACATCACTTCCATCTGCATTAATACTAAAAAAAAAAAAAAAGGAAAAGAAAAACAGATCTTATCTTTTCTTTCGAAGAGGACCGCAATACAACAAACAATCGTCCATAGAAGTGTCTGTTGCATCTAAAGATAACTATATGGAAAATATCGTGCTCACTTTTGATAATGGCTGTGCAAGCCATGGTCAGTGAGCCATTGGCGTAAAACGAGCCTTTGCTGCAATAAACGTGCGGCGCGTTGCAATCGTTCCTCATCCTGGGCTGGTAATTCCGGCAACGCGTCCACCTCGCCACAACTCGCAAGGGACGAGATACCTGTAACATTCGAATCATTTCCTTCCCCTAATGATCTCGCAAAAGAAAGAAGAAGAAGAAGAAGAAGAAGAAAAACAAAAAAATAAAGGAAATGGTCGAGCAATTAATCGCATCGAATTACATTTCGAGCTATTAGACGAACAAAGATTATTATTCTTTTTTTTTTTTTAATTAGAGACTCGATCAGAGGAATTCGCGATAACGACGGGTGTGTCTGTGTATGGAAAACGACAGGAAACGAGGCCTGATATAATTCGAAGCGAGGAATTCCTGATTCCTCTAATTTTCATTGCGTAGTCATTCGTCGTAAAATCGTCAAACTGTGTGTCAAGCCACTTGAAATGCGTCGTACGTCGTTCCTCGTCTTTCCACTATGCATTCTCGAGTGCATCGGGCTCGCGCTTACGATATGCATCGTGAACAAACACGAAGAAGGTGAGGTGAAAAACTTTTCCCCTTCGCTCGCGTTTAATTTTCAATTGTTCCGTTTACGGAATCGGATACGAAAAGTGGGACGCCATTCCTGTCTTTTCTCCTCTTCGATTAAAACGTTTTTCACGTTTTCTTTTTTTTTCTCTGTTTTACGAAAAGAAAAACGATAAAATGAAATTTTAGAAATTTCTCGAATCGATAAAATGTACACGTTTCAGGGTTGCAGCTGGATCGGTTGCAATGCTTCAACGTCACGTTACAAACGGTTTTCAATCAGACGACGGACTCGAAAGTGAAGTCTATATCGATCTTCAACTCGGATTTACGATACATTCCGGAACGAGCTTTCGCGAAATACTCGAAATATTTGCAGTCCTTGAACATGCACCATTGTCGTATAAACGACATTCATTTGGATGGGTTTGATAATTTGATTAAGTTGACGAAACTCGGCCTATCGAACAATAACATCACGCGTGCGAGGGAGGCATGGTTCAAGAATTTAATATACCTGGAACAATTGGACTTCTCTTTCAATCGGATCGACGTAATTGAACCGATCTTCGACAAAATGCCGTTACTCAAACGACTCGACATCCAAGAGAATCGTTTAACTTGCTTCGAACCTTCAACGTTGCCGGCTGGTATCGACAAAGTGTATTTCTTCGGCAATCCTTTGACTTTCAAATGTCGGGGAAAGGTAAGAAAGCTAAAGCTTAGCCCTTTCGAAGAATCTCATTTAAAACGAGAGATTGCGAGAGGCGCGATGAAATGGATCGTTGCGATTCGGTTTATTTATCGATTCGGAAATTACAGCTAACTCTGTGGATGCAGGACCACGGGGTGAACTACAAAAACGAGGAGAGCAAGAAGGAAGCATGGCTGGATAAGCTGCTTTGGCTCTGCGCCATCGGCGACGCGAGCGTGGCCGAGTCAGAAGTCTTGATGAAAGAATGCGTTATCCTGAATTTGTTCAATCAGTTTCGAACAGGTCTGAGCACCGAGAAATCGAACTCCACGATCGACCACTGTGTCGCTGAGAGACACCAATTGACGAGTTGCGTAGTTGCGGAGAATCAGCATCGGCTCACCAACGGGAACGTGATCAAGAACTGCTGTTCTATGTCCATCGAACGAAAATGAATTGAAAAGTAAAAAAAAAAAGAAGGTAAAAAATGTAGGATTTTAGAATTGAAAATATAATAAATAATTATGCAAAGATCGTCTCTAATTTTTGAAAAGCAAACCGCGTTGTGTTAGAGATCTTTTTTCTCGAACCTTCGTTCGAAGGAATACTTATTTTATACTTATTAGGAAATTAATCGCAAGGAATAATTCATTGGATTTTGATGAGGTTTTTACTTACCGGAAGAAGCGCTACCGCTGGGCCGTAGCGACATGCCGATGGACGATATCTCATCGGCAAAGAATCTTTGTCGCGTTGTCCATCTCGACAGCCTCGATTTTTGTCCGGCATAATTCCTCCACGGTGTTCTCTTCGCTCGTCAACTTTTACCGACTACGAAGCATTCTTCTTTCGCTCACCGTCGCATCGCTCGCTCGTCACGAGGTCATCTTCTCGAAACATTATTACACCACCGTTTTATCTCATTAATCTTGATCGAGTTTTTCTTCGCGAAACAACCAATGCAATAATAAATTCGCGAACAATTTTAATTCGCGCGGTTCAATTTCGAATCCATTCCGAAAATGGGAATATCTTATACGATTCTTCGACGCTGTATAATCGCGCGATAAATTTATACCCGAGCTGCGTCGTATCGCCGAACAATGAAACCCTCTACCTTTTGTTTTCGACTTCGTCGCCCACGCGTAAAGTGCGATGATTGAATGGCGAATAGCCATTGACAATTGTGCGGGACGTGACGGTATTGTCAAGCGGCGGACGTTTAATATTTCGCTTGTCGTACGAACGGCTAGTGCGCAGCTAGTGTATATTTTTTTGCAACGAAGCGAATGCAATTAGAAAGGAAAGAAGAGAGGGAAGGCTTTTGTAACAAGAGGTGAAGCATCGATCAATTTCTTGTTCTAGAGGAAAGGCTAGAGGGGGGGGGGAGGGGGGTTGCATCGCGATTAATTTTAATTACAAATCGGGTGAAAGCTATTCTACGTGAGGAATTAAAGAAAAGAGGAACTGGATGATGAAGGAAAAATACTCGCTGTACTCTCTGTTACGTGCACGAGCGTGTTTCGAGCGCGTCGTGAATAATGAAGAAGGGGGATTCGGTGGTAATTCGGCTCAACTTTTTCCCCCATCTCTAACGGACCAACTTAGGCGAGGATCGAGGGATTAAACTTATTCGGTCGTGGTGCGGCGCGATCGAAACAGCAAAGGAAAAAGAAAAAGAAAAAAAGGGAGATGTTTCGCCGCGTATAACTTTCGCCCGCGTTGACCCAGATCCGGGGCTACTCGATTCGAATAAAGAGATTGATAGCTGTTTCGATGGATTCTTCGGATTGTACTTTTAGGCCGGTTTTAGGCCGCTCGATTAACCACGTCGATCAAACGATCGCGGATCGATAGGCGATGGCCGAGTCGGCGATTTAATCAACTACAACGGAACGGTTACCGTGAATTAAACGGGTCCTGAAAGCGGGTCAAGAGTCCACTCGAGGTCAAATCTCGGGTTATCGTACCCGTGTTTTCCACGCTCATCTCGTTTCCCTTGCACAATTTATTGGCCGACGTGCACCGTGCCAATTGCCGCCGATAAAAAAAAAATAAAGAAACGATCGGAAGGACGAAACATAGGATTGCATTTCGAGATGTAATCCGTGGCATCCGTGGAGGAAATAAATTGGACGAAATGGCACAGGACGCGTGTCGCATCCTCCGCGATTTTTCCATTTTCTCTCTTTTTTTTTAAACGCGTTTAATCGAGTCGTCAGTTCTCGAAACGAAACTCGAGTTGTTACATGTGAGAAGGATAAAAACGCGAAGGATATGCTCGATTTGATCCGATAACCGATGGATCTCGGGTAAAAAGAAAGGAGGGGAAAAAAAAGTAATGGAAAAATTCGCAGACAATTTCATCCTATCAACTATTACGGGACTTCGAGGGATAAACGTTCCATTAGCGAGTCCATCAAAGCTCTCGAGCGGTAACGTTTCAAAGGTAAAGGAAGAATGTGGTGGCTCTCGATGTTTTTCGGATCTTTTTCCACCTCCTCCTCCTCCCCCAACCTTTCCCCCCCAATCTTTTTTTTTTCTGGTCGAAACGGAAATGTACACGTGGAGGAGGAGGAAAAGAAGAGAAGAAATGTAGCATGGGAACAATGAAAGAATCAACCGCGTAGAAACACGGCAACCTCGACGTGGACTCTTGACCTTTTCGAACGGATATCCTTCACTGGCATTACTTCGTGCTAACGATCCTTTCGGTAGCGAGGGGGTTGGGAGCAGCGGCAGGAGGTAGTGGCGGCGGTGGTGGTGGTGGTGGTGGTGGCGGGCAAGGAAAACCAGGGCATACGTATGTCATACATTCTCATGATTATGCACGAGAGGGTTGCCGGTATTACGAAGGTAGGACAGATCGATTCCAACATTTGCTATTGCACGCTTTTGTGTCTATCTCGTGCTAACCAGGGACACGATATTGCGCCGAATTGCAACATTTCGTTTTCGTCTGGTTAATTCCCCTTCCCCTTCCTCTTATCGTGTATCTCGACAGCGATATTCCGTGAATATCATCCACGGGGGGAAGAAGGGTGAGAACAAACTTGGTGACACAGTTTCACCACCATGGAGCGTAATACCTTTGGCGTGTCACTCGCAGGCATAATGGAATCCAGTGCCGTTTTTCTTTTTAACCTTAACCGGCAAAGCGATTAAACGATCCTGCTTGTAATCGCGATTCTCTTTCTTATCCCCCCTCCGCTCTTTTTTCCGTGAAAATCGTAAGAAGCCAGGGCAATAAGTTTCGGGTGAAAAGAAGTTTTTTAGAGGACCCTCGGGGATCAGCTTTGCTCCGAATGAAAGGATACGAAAGCGCGATGAATACCTTCCCCCCGCGAGAACGAGCGATTGTTTCCCGGACTAATTAAAATCTTACTCGCCGGCTACTCGAGACGAGTGTGTGCCTATCTAGACATCTTGTTCCCCGAGCGAAGATACGATACACGAGATCTTGCACGAAGATGAAGTTTATCATATCGTATTACCGTTTCGCTCGTTCGAACGAGCAAATATTTGCGGCGAATCAATTTTTTTCTTTTCACGATTAAAACGAGAAAATACGTTACATTAACGAAGCGAAAGTGATGATTCATTGGTTCTATATACAATTCATTGGGTATGTAACACACGATCGAATCGAAGATAGTGCGATTGTTTGTGCATACTTCCTTTTTCCCATGCTGATTCGTATGCGCGTTTCTATCTAAACGAGATAATCGAGGGTTTCGAGTATGCCTCGTAATACAGGTAGGTGTATACGTGGTTTGTATTCCGTCCGCGCCGCGAGTTCCCAATCAGTTTTTTTGTTTGTTTTTTTGGATCGATAGAAATGTAGAGAAATACGACGAGTCGAGGAATGCACGCTCGTGGAATGATTAATTGTTCGTTGCGCGGTAAAACGTAATTGGAATTCGTCGCACTTAGACGGATAGCACAGTTTATTGCACGGTTGGATAACATTTATATTCGTTCTCGAAAGCTTAGAATATCCGCGGATATTTTTTTTCTTTCATAAAATATATCGAGTAAGATTCGTCAAGGGAAAGGGGCCGTTTTAATAATCGTTGTAATACCGTTTGCTCGATCAAAGAAATTTTTGCTTTTAATCTGTTTCAATGGCCGCCGTTTAAATTATACTCACGCGCCGTTTCAAAACGATTTTACACTAAAGGCCGTTTAAAACAGCGTGTATACGATTTCTTTCGATCTTTCGTTCGAAATTACGCATTTCGTCCGTAGAATGGCGATTAATATTTAATGCAGCCGGTGAAGAGTGTCAACCCTCTCAGTCTTTTTCAGACTGTTCTCGACGGAAAATTTTTCCCGCGTTAAGAAAGGTTAAGGTCAGACACATGGATCGATACTTTTCCCATCGGCCGACGTTTACTTCGTGCAACTTACTTATACGCAACAACGACACCGAGAAAATCAATTTTAAGCGCGATCAATTAAGCCTATTCAACCGTTGCACGCGTTTCCCACGTTTGTCTATGCCTGCGTGTTGCCAAACCCCGATCGATCGATCTCGCCAATGGATTATCTCCCGCGCCTTCTTTCTCCTTTCCAGCCTCTCGCTTTCACTCGTAACGAGGGCGAAAAATTCGTGTAACACGATTGATTTATGCCCACGGATTTATCCCTCCCCGAAAATCTCGTCTCGCTTCATTATTTTCGAACAATGCGGGGCACGGAAAATGGTCCGTGATAAATTACGACACGTGGACAATGAGGAAAATGGCGAGGCAGTGAGTCGGAGGTTCTATCGATTCTACTCTTGGGATGAGTAATGATTTTCAAAAAACGTTTTTGAAATAAATGTTTCCAAATAAATTGCACAGTTTCTTTTTTTTTAAGAATATCGTCTATTCATCGATCATTTATACACTTACTTATACTTCTATTTACTACTAATCGCTTCTTTCGAATTACCATAACTCGAACGGGTTATTCTATATCCCGTATTACGTTTATCTTCCGGTATACGGAAGGAGAAAGAAGAAAGTTGGGAAAAGTTGGGAATTGAATTTTCTCTGTGCCAATCTCGAGTCTTTCCCCAGCGGGCAAGTTTCATCGACATCGAGCCGATAAAACGCATTACTGGCAAACTTTTCCTCCCCCGGATCACGATGCTCGTGGGAAAAACCTATCGTTCAAAGTGTCGCAATGCAGGACGCGTTCGCCGCGCTTTAGGCGATCCCTTGCTTTTCGAAAATGCCCGAATAGAGAGAGAGAGAGAGAGAGAGAGTATATGTGTGTGTGTGTGTGTGTG